TGTCTCTTTCTTCAACTTTCCTGCTCTTAACCATTGCCAGGTCTTGTTGTATCTGCTTTTCCTGCTAGCCTGTGTGTGGCCTGGCTATGTAATAATTTGCCTTGCCATGTCTCTTTTCTGTTCTTCATTTGGTCTTTCTTGTAGGCCAGTTCGGTCCCTTTGCTATTCAGTAAGCCTTCATGGGCTACTACCTTCAGTGCATCTTCCTCGCTGTCCTTCAGATATTCTTCCAATGCCCTTTTTTCTGCTTCAACTGTCTGGTGTACTTGCAACATTCAGCCCGCCTATGCTCCTTGGTAAGTAGAGTCGGTCAACGTCACCGTGTGGATGAAGGGCATGATTCACTCTCATTAGTTTTCTGGTCTTCCTATTAAGGGGCTTCTAGTTCAGCTCGAGTGCAGTCCACTATCCAGCTGTGTATCTAATGACTGGAATTGCCCAGGTGTTAAGCAACTTTTCTTCCAGTAGTCCTGCAGCTGCTGGCCCTGGTTGCTCGGCCAACAGTCCTGAGTCCTGCAGCCCACTTGGATACCAAATACCCAAGAACTCCAACACCTAACCTGGCCCTTGTTGACCTGGGTGACGACTGATCCGGCATAGGTTTCTCGAATTTGTTGCTGTTATTATTATTATTATTACATTTATTGTCTGCCCACCTCCAGCACACTCTGGACGGCGTCCAAAACTAGAAAAAACATAAAATCTGCTAAAAACATTATTTTATTTATTTATTTATTTACATTTATTGGCTGCCCAACTCCAGTGGGCTCTGGGCGGCATCCAAAACTAGAAAAAACATAAAAACAGCTAAAATATTAAATCAAACAGGCAGCCCAGACTACTGTAAGATGATCTAATGAACTATTTAATTGACGAAAATGAAGCAATGACAGTGGGTTTCTTATTGTAAAGAATGTGAAGGAATAGAAATAAATAGTATAGCCAGAGTTTAAAATTATTGGGAGTTATATAAGGGGTTAAAGTTATATCGACAGCTAATTTAGTCGGAAACTTTTAACTTAGAGAACTTTGTTTGTAGGGTCCAAACTTTTTTCCTTACTTTTTTCGAAAAAGAAATGCCAAAAATGGATAATGGCGAAAGTTACTATCAATACAATGCAATACAACCAGATGTTCAGAAAGAGATGTTGATCGTTATTGTATGTTATTCTCAATGCTGAAAAATCTTTTTTGTACAAATATTTGTTTAAAGAATGAAATAAAATAAAAAAAATCTAAATAAAATAAAATAAAATAAAATGATCTAATGAACCAAACAGGGGCCGTTAAACAAATAACTGCAAAAATGCTGCAGAATCAGAGCTTGCGACAGGCATCCGTTTGAAATTTGACAGAAAGTCCTGGATTTTGCAGAGCAGGCAGACGTTCAATAGGAAAAGCCTGGATTCTGCCAGGAGGGGGAAACTGAGCTTCCAAGGGAGGCAGCGGTCGGGTTTCAACCTACACCAAAGGGATTTCTGCAATGGGAAACCTGTCTGACTCCGGATCATTGATCTTTATCACTTTGATCTTTAAAAGCCCCGAAACCCTTAAATCAGTGTTGTCCAAACTTGGCCACTTTAAGATGAGTGGACTTCAACTCCCAGAATTCCCCAGCCAGCATGGCTGGCTGGGGAATTCTGGGAGTTGAAGTCCACACATCTTAAAGTGGCCAAGTTTGGACAACACTGCCTTAAGTCTTTCGCTGCTGGGGGACTGGCGCCATCTCCTGGCGCACACGAGGCATCCTCGACTGTATTTTCAAAATTGGCTCCCGCAGTTGCTAAATCAAATTAAAAAAGGAGGCGAGACTTCAGGAAAAGCCGAGGAAGGCTCACGCCTCCTTTCGGGATCTTCCGGAAAGACTCGGGTGGTTCCGATTGGGTTCGCGACAGGAGCCCAGCCTTTCGGATCCTTCCGGAGAGGTGCTCGGCCAGTTCCGGCCACGCTTGGGGTTGGACAGGCGTCGGCTGCCCTCCGACGGTCCCTCTTTCGGCAACTTCCGGAGAGGCTCGGCGGGTCCGCCCGGGTTTGCGATTGGCCGGGCGAAGACGCCTCTCTGTTTCGGCACTTTCCGGAAAGGCTCGGCTTGTTCCGCCCGGGCCAGCAGCTGGGACCGTCGGAGTCTGGCTGCGTCTGGGCGAGCGGCGGAGCGCCGGGTCGGGGTCGGGCATGGCGTCCTCGTCGCGGAGGCTGCAGACTAAGCCGGTCATCACCTGCCTCAAGAGCGTCCTCCTTATCTACACCTTCATCTTCTGGGTGAGGAAGGCTCTAGGGAACAATGGGGGGCGGAGAAGGGGTCCCTCCCCTTGCCTCCCGCCCTAGACAGGGGAGCAGGGAAGGGGCGCCTTTGCATTTCTCTTTTTCCCACCCTATAAGTTGCCTTTTGCAAAGAGAGGGGGCGCCTTTTGCAAAGAGAGGGGGGACTACATGCCCCATCATGTAGCGCAGCCCATGATGGGACCTCTCGTCCCGCCTGCCTGGAGGCAACCCGGCCATTGGCTTAGCCCCTTGTGCAAAAATAATATTAAGTTGTACTATAGCAGTCTTTTTCAAACTTGGAAACTTTAAGATCTGTGGACTTCAACTCCCAGAGTTCCCCAGCCAGCAATGCTCTTAAAGGTCTTAAAGTTGCCAAGTTTGAAAAGCATTGGCTTATTTGCTTGGGCATCGTGTGCGATGGGCTTGTAGTAACTGAGTTTTTGCTTGCATGAATCCAGCCCCACATCTAATACTGCTGGACGATGTTGGAAGACCGTCCTTCCCACCGCTTCGTCCTTTGCATTTCCCTACCGCCCTTAGAAGCTTGTTGCATGTTTGATGCTGTGTCAATTGAACCTAGCCATCGTGGCTTGGGAATCATGGCTTAAACGAGGCATACGAACCCAGCAGGTTGTAGCTTCAGTCCTTCCTTGGCCTGGCAGCTCTGAAGTTTCCAGAATTCTTTGCCAGCCGGTGAGATGGCCAGGAAGAATAGGGGAAAGGTGGCTGATCTCAGGTTAAGTTATCTGGAGGCGTTATATTAGTACTCTATCTACTGATCTGGTGTAATCGTGGTTCCAAGTTCAGCCTCTTAGTTTTCCTCTGCCCTCCTGCCTGATCAAGAGTTGCTGGAAACTTGAGAAAGCTGCAGTGAGTTTTGCAAAACTGAAAACAAGGAGAGACTCTTCCAGACAGGAAGAAACATGTCCTTCCCCTTGCAGACTGCCCTCTGAAGACATTCAGGGAAGAGAAAGGAAATCTGACTTGATACTGTCCAACTCTCAAAGGAATGCAATCCTCTTCCTTTTTCTTCTCCCACCTCTTCTGAGAACGGTATCAAGGCATTACTTGTTGATGCAACAACATGGGATGGAACAGACTCTCGAAAAGAACTGAACATCCCACTTTCCCTCAACACCCCCCCCCCCATAGGACACATCGGAATATATTTCAGAGGGTTTTCTCCAACTCACTTAAATCCAAAGTAGTCCATGGCTTAGTAAACAATTGTAGTAGTGCTTAGTAAACAATAATTGCCGTGATAAGGTGGAGACCCATTCCTTAGGGAAAGGGCTCAGTCCGAGAATGTAGGAAGGGATGTTGATCATCTCGGGAAGGGCCGGGCCCTACGTCCGACTTCTTTCTATTTTTCTCATTTTTTAAAAAGTTGCTAGCTTGCTTTGCTGGTCCTTTTTTTGGTGAAAAACGAATGATGTGTGGAATGCACTCAGTAATCATGTCCTTTCCTTTCCACCTTGCTGCTTCAGGCTTCGGATTCAGGTGAGTGTGGTTTTTCCAGGGAGCAGCAGAATTGCTCTTTTGCTCGCAGAAGTGAGGTGTTGTAGTTTTTCTTTTTCTCCTTATACAGAAGAGAAACGGAAGCAAATCTGGGTATGGGGGTGGGGAAGCCGGATCTGGGGGAAAATCCTCAAGGACACGCTTTTGAAGGACTTGATGGAAGTCGGCCGTAGGATGAGCAAAACTGTGTGGGTCTGTGTTTCTGAGATCTGAAGCTATGCGATGCAGGGAGAGCTGAGAGAGAAGACAAAGCCTCAGAGAGGCTGTGCAAATCCTTAGTTTTGTTGAGCGATCTGCTGTGCAGTTTGATTGCACGCTTCCTATATGATGGTGAGCATTGTTCGCCAAAAACTTGGGTTAAAAAAGTACAAACAGCCTCTTTCTGAATCCTTAGCAAGGTGATGGGCTGCATAATTTGGGGAGGGGGGGACCATCGTGGATCATACCCAGCCCGAAAACTTGAGTAAGGATACACCTTTTTGCTTTCTCTTATGCCACCTCCCTCTTCCTCAGCCCTGCTGGAAAGCGCACTGTTTTCCTGTGCTAGTGGTCTCAGCCAATCCTTGCAAAATGTTTTTGGGATCCAGTTGTGAGATCTGTGGGATCTGATCCAGGGCTGCAGGTGGCTTCCCCTGTGAGGACGGGTGGATTCCCCCCCACCCCTCAAAGTTCCTGAATGCATGCTGGGGGGCAAAGCAGGGATTCTGTGCGATGGGGGTATATGCCCTGCTGGCATTAATGTGAATTAGCTCAGGGCAAAGCGTCGCTGATCTGCATCAGGGCCACAGTAGCATTTCACCAACTGTTCTGTGTATGGGAACAGCTGTTTGCAGGGAGATACTGTCCTCTGGCTCACGCAATCCCTTCTTCTCTCTCTCCAGTTCTCTGGCATTATCCTCCTGGCCGTGGGGATTTGGGGGAAGGTGAGCCTGGAGGTTTACTTCTTCCTGCTGAATGAGAAGGCCAGCAATGTTCCTTATGTCCTGATTGGGGCAGGAATGGTCATCACCCTGTTAGGCACCTTTGGCTGTTTTGCGACCTGCCGTGGAAGCACGTGGATGCTGAAATTGGTAAGGGTCACAGGCGGCTTCGACGTTCCTATCCTGGTGGATGGCAGCCTGCCACGTTGTTTATTTTCATTTTACTTTAGAGGTTCATGAATTTTCCCAGCGTGGCTCAGAACCCATTAAAAATCCGAATGCAGACGTTAAAAAGGAAGTGGGGGTTAAAAGCATAACTTGTGATTAAAATGGGGCAGTAAAAGCATGAACTGCAATTGGGGTGCTCACCTATGAACGCTGCAAATGGCTGGGGAAATGAAATGTGTTTTTTCCTTGCTCCAGCACAATCATAAAGGGGGTGCCCAGTGTGCCTCACGGATGGATACTGCTGAGAAAACGTGATTGGGCCGGGGGCGGGGGGGTCTTTTATTACATTTCTAGACATCTGGAGCAGGGCCTAAGAAGATGGAATTGCTTGGCAACTGGGATGGGAAGATTTTATCTACCAGAATTCTCAGGGTGGACCTTACTGGCAAGGAATTCTGGGAGTTGGTTTGCTCCTTGGGGCAGGTTAGGGGAGCCTGTCTTAGGATACAGGTAGAAATATCTTGGAAAAGACATTCCTTCCAGATTGCAAACTGAAGGGATCCATAATGTTATAAATTATTTATGCATCTCCTTCTGCATTTAGAATCCAGCAATTTGACTTGCCCCCCAAAACAAATTAAGTTGTAGAAAAAGAGCCATTTTAGCCTGTGGCAGGACGCTGGCAGCACCTTTTTCAGACTAGCACCTTTTATTAAAAGGCATAAGCTTTTGGGAGCTACATGTACTAACTCTATTGTAAGGTTGCATTAACAGAATCTTGCAAGACTGCAAGTATTTCTCCCCTCCTCTCCTTTTCCTCTCTGGAAAACTTGGGAGGGTCCCTTCTGAAACTCTTCCCACGCCTCCTCTCCTTCTGCGGACTGAGATATCATTTACATGTCGTTTGTCCAGTCTGCAGCTCTTCCTCCTGTCTCCCAAGGTCATTTCCACATACCATTACAGTGGTTGACAAAGCAAATCATAATTATAGTAGAATATAACCTATCTAAGAATGGAAACAGGGAGCTCAGTAGGTTTGATTTGAGAATACACAAAAAAGGAAAAATGATGATGATGATTCTGGTCTGGACTACCTCAAAGAGCTAACACCCAATCAGGTCTGGTGGTTTCAAATGGCCTTTGGCTGAACTACCACTCACTTGCTAGAATTTGCAATTTCAGCCCATATAAAACAAATGCATTCTAGTGTTTGTTTCTTTGATTTACAATGGGAAATCCACATACAGATCCACATATCTAAATAAATGGGATGTTAACCCAACCAGACTATGCTTTATGTTATGGCTTCATGTTATGCTTTATGTTTATGGCTGGTTATAGCTGGGGTATAATATTGGTTACTCTTGTACCACAGCAATGAGAGTCATTTTGGTGTCCTTCATTCCTGCTTTTTGTCTGCAGTATGCCATGTTCTTAACTCTCGTCTTCCTTGTTGTGCTGGTGGCTGCTGTTCTGGGTTTTGTCTTCAGACATGAGGTGAGTTCTCTGTCTGTGGGTAGTTGGCTGTTTTAATGGGGCAAAAACTGAAATTCCTGTTATTCTTCCTCAGGGAGTATGCAGTAGGATCCTATTTTGCTTTCACTGAAAATTGGATCTTACCTAACAGCAACGATTCCTGAAAAAGCCTTCCACTGAAGATGATTTCATTCAGATTTGATCTCCATTTTTTAAACAGTGTTTCCTAAGAGAGTCCCCTCATTTATCTAGAGGCCAGCTGGACTGAGGTGGTGTGTAATTTCATAGTAAATGCCTTTGGGGATAGAAATATGAAAGGACTGTGTGTAAAATTGCAGTTAGGTTGTTTACAACATCCCCGATACCTCGTAAAACTGAATTTCTTTCCAATGAGCCTGCTCCACTTGTGACGGAAGTTTTGCACAGCTGGTGTAGGATGGTGTTGTACATAGGAGTAATTTGAACCTGTACCAAAGCGAGGATTGTAATGTGTATCCTTCCAGTTCTAAATTCCTTGTATTTTTTAGCATTGATTTTGGCTTAATGTGCCAAAACACATATGAAAACATCTGTTTTGCCACGTTCTGTGTAAAAATGTGCAGATTCTCCCTTTTCTTAAAAAAAAAAAAACAATTTACAACAAAATCATTGAAACTAGACAAAAAATTGCCATCTCTTTCCACCTCAAATTGGGACAATATCTTGAAAGTGGCATTCCACTATTTCACATAGAAGACAATGTCTCTTCTAAGAATCTATCACCCTGATATGTTATCAGGCCTTTTCGTGTCTTTGCTTTTATTCCTCTGCACCTTGAGTTACTTTTAACTCATTCAGATGGCTAAAGGGTTCTTTTGATCAGGTGAAAGCCTCACCTATAAGGGTGCATCTTCCTCCCTTTCCTTGCAGATAAAGGATAGTTTTAAGAAGAACTATGAACATGCTGTGAAGACTTACAATGGGACCAAAGATGAACGTAGCAAAGCAGTTGATAACATACAGAAGACAGTGAGTGGAAGCCTTGCATTGTTATAACTCAGGGATGAAACACCGTGAGGGGGTGTCCAGAGGACTCCCTAAATGAGTTTTAAATGTAGAAAAGTAGCAGAAGCAAGATTATGACCTCTGGTAAGCTTTGGGCTTTACCCATGAGAACTAGGGAATGAGATCTTACCAGGTTTAATTTTTTTTAAAAAAATATTTCTTGGTTTCTGGGCCATCACACCTGGCACCTGAAAAGGTTCCATATTCCTATTGACCTAAGTATTCTGAATGCACTATGCGGTATATTGCATGCTTTTCCATTTGAGAAGATACCAGGAATTTAAGATAGCTCCTGTACTTCCAAACTTGATATAAGCAAACCAGTATTTCACTGTGCTACAAGATGCATCAGTCCAGTGTTAAGGAAGATAATGTGGGAATAATCTGGGATATGGAATTATAAGCAGATGGGAAGGCTGCTGAAAGAGGGAGTTTAGAGTGAAGAGTTGATGGGAAGACATATTATAGATACTATGGTTTGGATTTAGAGTGGGAAGATATTGATTGGGAAGATACCCCTGGAAAATGTTGCTTTTTCCAGGAGTATATTAGCTACGCGTTTATGTATGGAGTGTGCAAAATATTCCATTGTTTAACTTCAGACCCTGAAATGGGCTATTCCAAACAGGATTCCAAAAGGTATCTGACCATAACATGGGCCACTTCCAGGCCAGTTCCAAAATAGACCCCTTTCAAAGCTACACCAATTCTGGAAGACCTGGAATGGCTTATTTGGACCTTGGAACATCCCATTTTAGGGCAGAACGTTTTGCACACCTTGCCATTGTCATCTTGTGCTTGCTTGGTTTTGTACAGTTGCACTGCTGCGGTGTAGTGAATTTCACTGACTGGAGAACGAGTGACCAGTTCAAACAAAAAGGCATTCCCACCAGTTGCTGCAAGCCTTCGGAGAACTGTACAGAAGAGGTCTTGAAGGATCTTGCTAAAGCAAGAGGCAAGGTTTATGAACATGTAAGTGAAGGCACGGTGGCCTTCTGGGTTTCTCTAGAATCTGGAAATAGCAAAGCTGGGCCAACTCTAAAGTTTGGTTTGCTGGCAAACTACTTAATAACAGCAGCAAGTTTTTTGCTATCTTCTACTGAGAAATAGATGAAAATAATAGGATTAAGCCTCTCACAAAGTTAATACACCTTCATTGTAAGAAAGAAGATGGTGAACTGGTTCCCCAATCCATCTTTGTCTCCTCCATTAATAGCGTGATGTCCCTACTTTGGCCTTTCTTTCTGGTCTCAACAAAGGTGCCCATCCTTGCATGAAATCATGGCTTGTCTTAACACAGTTTATTGATAAGCCACAATGGATGGCTCACCTGAGGCTATGCCATAAGACAACTTCTGTTGGTCCGAGGGCCAGATCAGGCTTTGCATGGGACAGTCAATAGCTGTACTCCCAAGGGGATGAGGCAGGACCTGTCTTTAGGGAGGGTTCAGAACTGGTAAGGCAGGACATGGGGGCCTTGACTAGAAGGAATGAAGCTGTGGGGCCTAACTAGCAGTTCTCAGGCTAGGAAGAACCGTGTTGTCAGTGTAGATCAGGTGCCTCTCAGTGCTGCAGGGAGAATGGCCAAGTGTCTATTGACTCGAAAAGGCAGGAGGACAGAACCTAGGGTTGAAAACCTGGCAGACAGACTATTATATAGAGGTGTTCACTCCCAGGTATCACACTGGACAGACGTGTGTATACAGAGCTACATTCTTGCCTGCAGTAAAGAGACTAATCTAGCTGAGTGGTATCTGGAGCCTACTAGCAAGTAAACCTGAATATTCATATTTGTAGAGAGCCGAGATTAACCCCCCAGCATTAAGCCTCTTCAAAGCCCCAGGGACCCATTTTGCCCTTATCTGTCCCTTCGAGTATCCAAAATGCAAAAAAAAAAGGTCCCAGTTTTTGGCATCACCCGCTTTGGGTGGTCCAGGGGCTGCAAAAAAAAAAAAAAAAAAAAAAGAAAAGAAAAAAAGATGCTAGTAGATCTTATTTGTTTCCAGGCTGAACTGTTGCCATAAGCTGTGGCTTGCAAACCATAATGGGAATTTTTTTGAGCAAAAACTAAGCAAACCACATTTGGGCTTAGTGTAAAAGCAAACCACATTTGGGCTCTTTGCTGATCAGATGCTGCTGATCTATTATTCCCACTGTCCATCATTGTTGGCTATGCTGGAGGCTGCAGATGGGAGACCACTTAAAAATCCCAGGGCTGTAGCCTAGAAACAGGGCCTGGAAGGAGACATTAGCAAAACCCCTTCCATTGTGTCACCAAGAAAACCATATGGACATGTCTGTGAAATTAGTTTAGCTCAGGTCACGGTGACTTTGAACCACTGGGTGTCCATGCTCCTGGGCATGATGGGAGATAACAAGGAGAATGTGGCATAGAGGGCAAAGGCTGGATTATAAAGAGGACCTGGGTCTTTGCTCCCTGAATCTCTTTGCTTCCTCTCCCTGAAAAGGGAGCAGCTCTTTGGCCGTGTGTTGAGAACCAATCCTTCCAAAGTACACTGCAGTAAAGAAGTGGGACAGAGGGTGCTGCGTAAATATTGACCCAGCTTGGAGTATTTCTGCAAATCTTCAGTCAGATTAAAAGAAATCTGCTGCGTGGCCTTTGGTTAAGGTTAAGGTCAAGTCAAGGTTTCATTGGAACGTTCAAGGGCTGTGTGTGCTTTTGGTCCCCTGGGAATAGGAGTCCCCTGACGGTTCTTCAAGCTCCTGTTTCTCTCTGCAGGGTTGTTTTAGCCTGGTGATACAAACAATGGACTCTGAAATGGGCATTGTTGCTGGAATCTCCTTTGGCACTGCTTGTTTCCAGGTAAGCCTTCCTGAGAACCACGCAGGTGGACCTTTGTCTGTCCTAATGCCCCTGTTTTTTTCTCTCTGTTTGATCTTTGCTTACCATGCTAGGAAAGGCACATGTGGCCACTGGCCAGCTGCTGATCAGTTAAGACTTTGTTTCTCCTTCTTGTGCAGCACTAACAACTTGCTCCTGGCCAGATGCCCTCCAGCCCCCAAATTATTTTTTGGAGGGAGGGAGGGAGGGAGAGGCTCATCTTAATAATATCTGGCATCCCAAAAGATGTCTATGAGTTATTGGGATCAATTTTACAGTAAAACCTTGATTTTTATGGAGAGTGGGGCAGAGGGTATGTGTTGGAGGTAAATGTCCATTGAAGGAGAATTGCTGTAATTATCATTACAGTCTTGTTACAGACTGTAACAGCCACTATGTAGGACAGACAGGCAGAAGACTAATTGTATAACTAATTAATATTATACAATATTTGCATAAGTACATTATTGATGTCATTGATATAAATGGATGCAAATGACATGAATTACATCAATGATCCAGACAGGAATTTGTCCTTTGGGGGTGAAATCTGGATAAACTTTTACATCTAAAGTCCACTGAATGGACTTTAAAATCACTGTAGCACACAAACCAACTAAAGCCCTCCAC